GAATGGGGCGATCCGAACGTGAAAGAGACACGATGGCGCTGAGAAGCCGATCGTGCTGCATAAGACGGTCATCGCCATCCTGGAGGGAATGGGCGAGCCGAACCGTGAAATCTAGGCGCGGTCCGTCTTGGCTGGCTATGAGAAGCCGATCGTCTGTCAGGACTTCATCCTGGGAGGAAGGGTGGACCTGGGCGTCGTCCCTCTGTCTGTCTGGGGAGCTGGTATTCGTCGTCCAAGGTAAAAGAAAGCCTGATGTTTGCCGATCGTCGTCGGCCATTTCATTCTTCGTACTTAAGTTTTGTAATTATTCTTTACATATGTTTTTCAGTTTGTACTTCCCGGCCAATAGCGCCGAGGGATAAAATCATTCTTTGCTCCGTGCTCTTCTGGCATCTCTCTCTCTCTCTCTCTCTTTTTTGGAGTCTTTTAGTCTTCGTTCGTCCTTGGTTCTTGGTCCTACCGGCGTCCTTACTTCGAAGAGACGTCCGATATCCTTGAAACTCGCAAGGAGGAACAGGTTTATCTACATCGAGATTCCCCCTTTTTTTGTTCGTCCGTGGTCCTTTTAGTCTTACCGGCGTCTCTTGCTTCGAAGAAGACCTTCGGTACCCAAGGAACTCGCAGGGACGAACTGGTTTACCCTCACGGGTTCCCGACTTTGTTATCCCACGTCCATCGATCCATGGTCATTGTGGGATAAACAGGTTTATCTTGGTAAAGCTCCCTTGGTTCGTCTAGCCCCCTCTGCGTCTCTACTAACCTCTACATCGAGAGGCGTTCGTCTTCGGCGGTGGGAGAAGATCTGGCACGCCCGGGCAAGATTCCCTTCCACCTAGGAGCTCACCTCCTCTTCTCCCCATCTTTTTTTTTTCTTTTTTTTTTTCTTTTTTTTTTTGTTTGAGGGAGGCAATCTATATTCTTCGTTCGTCCTTGGTTCTTGGTCCTACCGGCGCTCTTGCTTCGAAGAGACGTTCGGTATCCGCGAAACTCGCAAGGAGGAACAGGTTTATCTACATCGAGATTCCCTAGCTCTTCTTTGTCCGTCCCTGGTCCGTGGTCCTACCGATCTTCCTACATCGAAGAAGACATTCGGTATCCAAGAAACTCGCAGGGATCACGGGATGTCACACATAATGGTGGTGGCATAGCGAACGAATATAATGACGAGGCGATAGAATAGCTGGTCGTCATGCGAAGGCGATGGTCACCCTCCTGGAGGGGAGTCGTGAGCCCGATCGCAAACTCAAGAGGGTCGGCATTGGGAACCGACAAACAATGATCATAATGTCGCTGAGCAGTCGGTCCTGATGAGGAGATGACAATAGTGTCCGGTCAGGCCGATATATCCGTGCAACGGCTCTCATCCAACGCATCGCGGGGATGGAACCGGTCTTCAAAAGATAAATATGTCGTGCCGAGAGGCCGACCATAACATGATAGTGTCGGCAGTGAGAGGCCGACCTGAAAGAATCAAGCAACGGCCCTCGTCCGCGAGGGGCGGGGACGAGGCCAGTCTTCAAATATGGAAAGCACGCCGAGCCGGGAGGCCGGTCGTGATATAATGGTGTCGGCAATGATCGGCCGATCTGAGAAAATCAAGCAACGGCCCTCGTTCGCGAGGGCGGGGACGAGGCCGGTCTTCAAATATGATAATCACGCCATTCCGAGAGGCCGGTCGTGATATGATGATGTCGGCAATGAGATGCCGATCAAGATATGGTCAAGCAACGGTCCTCGTCCGCGAGGTGGCGGGAACGAGGCCGGTCTTCGAATATGATAATCACGCCGGTCCGAGAGGCCGGTCGTGATGTAATGATGTCGGCGATGAGAGGCCGACCTGAAAGAAATCCAGCAACGGTCTTCGTCCGCGCAGCGCGGGGACGAGGCCGGTCTTCAGAAGATGATAATCACGCCGTGCCGAGAGGCCGGTCGTGATATAATGATGTCGGCACTGAGAGGCCAACCTGAAATCCAAACAACGGTCCTCATCCGCGCAGTGCGGGGATGAGGCCGGTCTTCAAATATGATGAGCATGCCGTGCCGAGGGGCCGGTCGTGGTATGATGGCGTCAGACGGCCCTCGGCCGTGACGATCTCTTCCAGGCCCTCGGCATCTGAATGACGGGTGATCGTCTCACGGTTCTCTGTCATGGCATTCGCCTCTAGACCCTCGGCGTTCTTCCTAGCCCATCGGTCTCTGGGGTGGAGATACTCGTCCCACGGTTCTCAACCGTGGTGGCCTCCTCTAGGCCCTCGACCTCTGGGTGGAGATGCTCTTCCATCGGCTCTCAGCCGTGATGGTCTCCACTTTAGCTGGCCCTGGACGTCTTCAAGACTCGGGCCGAGCGTCTTTTAATCATTTCGCTCGAGCGCGCCGAGCGGCTTCATCTGCGCAATAAGCATGGTAACGGCCCGCACGACCCGACAATAAATATGCACACATAACCGTCTGCATGGCGGAGTCTTTATCATCCACGATTACCGGCCTATGGGTCATCGTGACCCTCGGCCCGGCTCATCGTGCGGGGTTAATGGACGTAGCAGCTCGCGGCGGGGCCAATCAGCAGCCCGCCGAACGTCATATAAAAATATTCATCGGTCTGTGAGTTTTCAAACTCAAACCCAAGTTGGTCGCACCGCCCTCGGTAAAAGGAGGTTGAGTGCTTTGGTTCCCCCGGGCCTCACAGGCTGTGTCTGGCAACAGTCACTTTACGCCTAGCGGCGCGGATGGTACTGGGGTACGATCGTCGATCAGGCATTGATGCCGTGCGGACTAATGCGCAACCCCAACTTAAAAAAGCGTCATCGGGGCACTACCCTCTAAAGACGTTCGGATCGCTTAATCAAGCTGATCGAGAGTGAGCCAACAGGCCCACGAGAAATTAAATATTCAATAAAATGTTGGCCGAACTAATTATCACTAGAGCTTCGCTCTGCATTATTTAATTTTGGGACATTTTTATCCCTAATAAATAATAGCGATGTACGGGTAGTAATAATAGTATTATCCTACCATAAGTCATTCAGATACGCTCCGTTTGCTAATTAAAGCCGATCGGGAGCAGGCCAACGGGCCCACCACAACCCATCATTAATTAAAATGACGGTGAAATTAATTATCACTAGAGCTCTACTCATCTGAGCTTTGCTCGACATTATTTAATTTCGGGGTATTTGCTCCCTATTAAATAATGGTGATTAAAATACTAGTAATACTAATATTTTAAACTATTAACAATTAGATGTATCAACTTAAAGAGGGGTACTTAGCTTTTGCCTTTGAATTTATCAATTTTGACTAGAGCATGAGGAGGCTCGTTGACTGCCAAATAGTGGGGGAGCATGTCATCTCTCAGACCTTGATCCCTTCGGGTTTCTTTATAGGCGTGGCTTCCCCAGAACCAAGGCATCTGATATAGTGTATCTCTTGGAAAGATGCATTCTGTACGAACTATGAAACATCCGTCCACCATCATAAGTCCGACGCTGCACTTGCCGGCCACTAATGACTCATCGACGGCGGTTTCAAGCGGTTGCAGCAGAACAAGGGCGGCTCTCGGGTCTAGTTCCCAGCGGGTGACCTGCTGAGCTTCGGATGTACCTCCCTTGAGCTCCAAACTGCCATTAATGGCGGAAGTTCCTTCAAACTGCTGATGACGAGCGGTGGTGTGTGATTCAGACGGTGGACGCCGGAAACAGCTGGGACGCTGCAGCGAGCTTCACCTGACGCAGCTGACTTCACCGGAGATCCACCGCGGCGGGGATGGTTACGGCGGCTCCGGCGACCTCAAAACAGATCTGGAAAAAATCCAGATTTGGAGTTCCCAGATTCCGTAGCTTCCTGGCTTCTTCTTCCCTTCCTGGGGTCAATAGCTTTCCAGTATGAAATTTTTCTTAGAAACGAAGAACAACGTGAATCTTTTTGGACAGATTCCAACGTGAATCTTTTTGGACAGACGGCGCCAGTGTTGAGTTTAATCCAACACGATATAGTAAATATATGTATGAACACTCAGTTTTTTACGTGGAAACCCGGAAAGGGAGAAAACCACGGGACTTTTTAGGCTAATGTCCAAGCCCTCTCTTTCTCATTAGGACTCTCCTCACCATTACATTGTACAAGCTCCCATTAATGGAGTATTTGAGCTATTCTAGAGGAAGAAAGAAGAAGGAAGGGATCCTTTTACATGGAGGGAAACCTCCTATTTATAGAGAATAGGGGGAAAGGAGGCTCTCCACCCTAACGGCCCGAATGGGCCAAAATGGACCCAAAGGCCGAAACAGGCCTGATAGGCTAAAATGGGCCTTACTGATTGGGCTCCGTACTACATAAAGTCTTGGGCTCCTGAACAGTAATAGGCCGGGATAATATATCCCAACAAGATGTTTTTAATTAGACGGTTTTCATTTCTAAATCAAATTAGATAAGAGCAGATCAATTATACCAGATCAGGGACATTTATAAAATATACAAAAACCATATATCTATTAGACTAGACCAAAAATTTTAGTCCAACTAAAAGCATACTTATTCTATACAAATAGAATTTTCATACATCCCTATATTTTTTTCTCACATTAAAGTAGATAATTCAAACCCTATATCAATCAACATCGAGAATTTTCGTCGTTGCCCTCAGCTTGGGTTTCACCTTCTGTTTTTTGTTTGTTTTGGATAATAATGTAGCGGCTGGATTTATTATTAAACTAAAAAGTAAATCAAGTACCGCATTTTATATTCCCCCAATCTTCTGGTAATTCTAAGGTTGCTATTGTATTCTACAAGCCTGCTTCCCCGTCACGTCTACACTACACAGTACACAAAACCATTTTCACTTTCACTTATTCACTATTACCAATTACTTCCTGGTTTTATGACTTTTATCGTTTCCCATTTCGCTTTCATTATCGGTTTTCTTACAGAAAAAAAAACAAGTCTTTTTCAATCCACAATCATCTACACGCAAGCTTCCCTCATATATCCTTCATTGCAGTGTGTTATGGGTCATCCATCCATAACCGTTTCATGATTTTTCAACTTAAAGGGTTCCAGGTTCCTTCTCTTTCTCCCTTGAGCTTAAACATGTATTAATCCGTGCTTTTGATCTATGATCTTGATGATTATTGATAAATATTGTTTTACAGTAGTAATATTGTCTAAAGTTTCCATCTTTATGAGTATTTCTTGTAGTTTATACTGAAATTTTATTGATTTGGCCGTGAGTAGAGTGAGAGAGGACTGTGAGGTGCTAATTATGTCTTCCTGGAGTTCTCTTACCATGGATGATTTCGTTGGGCCGCGTTTATACTGTTGCTATAAATGCAGAAATCATGTCTCTGCTCATGATGACATAGTATCCAAGGCTTTTCAGGCGAGTAAATGGATTTATGTCATCCTTTCTGCTTTCTATTTGTTAAGCTTTTCATGATTTATTATATAGGAATATCAAGTTTGTTGTTGATCTTTCAGAACTCCCTTGGTTTTTGACTGACTGAAGAATAAAGATTATAATCTCTGTGGATAAGTGTATTAGGTTTATCATACCACAGAGAACCCTATGTCCATGAAAAATCATTGAAATAGATTCAAATTTGGTGAATTTAATAAAGGTTTTGAACCTGCTTAATTAGTTAAATTAAACAAATTTTCATCAATTTTTATGGTCAATTTTCTTTTCAAACCCGCCCTGTGAAAAAAACTGGACTTCTTAATTTGGTAACTTGATAGAATTAGCTCTAAGTGAAGTTGTGTTAATACCCTAAAGGCAGGGGCAACTGGCAAGCTGCATAAATGGTGATTAAAGATTTTTCTCCGGATTCTGTAAATTAACCGGTGACAAAATCTACCTATAGGGCACAAGAACACCCATAAAACATTTTCATTCACATAAGTTTGTAAAGCAAAGTTTTACATATGAAAAATTGGGTGGGGCCATTGCCTGTCCAGGTAAGTTCCACCCCCTCCCCCGCCAAGAAAACCCCTGCCCTGCTGATAGAGCTTAGAAGTCTGTCTGGCCTGTGGGCGATATCTTTAAAATGTGATTTTATCTATTTGTTTTTTTCACCTGCTCAAGTGTTATGCAGAGTTTTATACTCAGTATGTGACCAATACTTTCTTCATTCTTTAATAATAGAAGAAAACTTAAAAAAGTGTAAAATGTTTTCAAGTTTATCTCAACATATGTTTCATAAATATATATTTTTATAATCTAAAATATTAGGAAATTAAGTTGATGATGGTCAACGTTATGTGTTGACAAATATGAAAGTGAAAGTGTTGCAACCAAAATAGAACAAAGGAAGTATGCTATTACACAGGCACCCAAACTTGAGAGGCATTGTTGTTGCTAAGTCAGAAGTTGCGATTTGTGTATAGTTTAATTTCTTGAAAATTTTCAGGGAAGGAATGGAAGAGCCTTTCTATTCTCTCATGTGATGAATGTAGTTGTGGGGACCAAAGAAGACAGACATCTTATGACTGGTGTTCACACCGTTGCTGATGTTTTTTGCGGCGAATGTAATGAACTGTTAGGTTGGAAGTATGAACGAGCATTCGAAGCAACACAAAAGTACAAGGAAGGGAAGTTCATTCTTGAGAAGTCAAAAATTGCCAAGGAGGATTGGTAGCCAAACCAGTCCCCCCACATTCCTTCACACCTTTCACAATGTAAATATGTAAGTCTATCATTCTACATCATATCATCATCTTCTTTACTCTCTGTACAGTGCAACTCAAAAAATTGTGAGATATACCTTTGTGAATATTTCTTTTTTCTTTTTAATTAATCTATTATCCTTGTGAATAGCTACAATCCTTTTTTATATTTCATCTTTAATTTATACGGAGTACTACGTATGTTTGTGTTATGCATTATGAGGAACTGGAGACTGTTAAGAGCCTCTATTAGATACAGCATACAGACATACGCGTTTAAAAGGAATGGATTAAACTAGCTAATGAGTTGGTTTCAATCTTTTAGTGTATTTTGGCCGTGGGCATTATGGCCCAAGTAACCTTCTTTTACAGTTTTCTATTTTCCAGTCTTACCTTTGGTGAATTATTTACTCCTTATTCATTTTAGGAATGTTTTTTGATACCTGTCCTGTTCCATTTCAGGCAAGTTTTAAATTTCTTTTTAATTTCCTCTTTCTTGTTCATCTTTTTTTTGCTACTTTTTTGTTCTCTCTTAATTTTTTCCTTTTAATCTTTTTTTATTATACATTTTTTCACATTTTCAACCGTCTACTATCTTCCGAACTCCCTGAAAAAGAAAAGCGCAAGTGTGGAACTGATAAAAAAGTAGTGAGCTTAAGAATTAATCCATTCATGGAAATATAAAGGAAAGATTTCTTCTATTTCAAGAAAATAAACTTAGATATGAAACATTTTCTAAGACAAACATCTGGTAATATTACACATTTGAGTTTCTCAGGGAGAGGCAGGAGGAGCATTGTTCCTTTTCCGACGTTTGGTTGTGTTGCTAGGAACTGGAGGAAAGTGGTTATGCTGACCTCTATATGTAACAATAAACTTACTTTCGTCCCTTTGACTTTGCTGAATGTGTTTCTTTGCGGGGCACTTGTGCCCCTCAAAGCTACATCTGTAATAGCTCTTAGTATGTGGCGAGTCGCACACCTTCTTCTTCCCGTACTTGCGCCACAACCATCCATCCCATTCCTCCACTTTCTCCACCGCCACCTCAACCACCGTGACCTCCTTTGCAGACCCGCTTTTTCCATGTTGAACTTTCGGGGTCAGGGTCGGGGACACCATAGTAATTTGAGGACTTTCATCCTTGTTATCAATTTGAGGAGTCATTTCTTCTTCTTGCTGCTTTCTGTTAATGAAGCGGTCAAGAACTTCGTCTAAGCCAAAGTAACGCCTTTCGGGAAGTAAATTGGGGAATTCGCCATGACGGGTTTCGGCATTCGAGAGTTGTTCACCATTGATGAAGCAGTGATGAGGATTACCATCTTGAGCATTGCTATTGCTACTACTACTAGAATTGCCATTGTTGTTTCTGCAACTTCTTACCACTGCAAAAAGATCCCAATCATTGTTATGGTGACCATGACCATCCATTATCTCAAGTCTCCTTCGCTCTCTAATCTTTGTGAGCGTGTGGGGGTTAATATTGATGGAGGAGAGGAGGCTTTATTAGATAAATTAATTAATAATGTGGGATGCTAAATTAATTATCTATAAATAAATCATTATGATTAGTTTCCACGTGTAAATTTAGTAACAAGGTTCTGTTTTAATTAGTGTTTCTTTTAATGGGGAGATTTTATGAGGTACTATAAATGGATGTGAATCTGTATTCATTAAATCCCTCCATACTACGAAGTATTATGGTATTGCCATTATTAATTAATCAATTATATTGAAAGGTAAGAATATAAATTTAATGGTTAAATGACAAAAACCTCAAGATTCACTTGAAAAAATTTCCATGTAAATGCTGCTGCTCTACATTTTTTTCCAGTAATTAATGTGAGGAAATTATAATCAAATCTAGTACTCCGTACGTATAAAGTCTTAAACATTTCGAAAAATTATAACAGTATTAATTAATTAATTTGTATTCGGCGGGCTGCCTATATTTTTTCCTTATTAAGAGAAGAGACGTGTCTAGGCAAAGGGGTGCTTTAGTTTTTCTAGAGGGCCGAAATCCGACACGAAGCGACGTGTTTAAGTGAAACACAATAATCAAAAGATTTAATTTATTAGTCTATTTTTCTTTGCACAATAATCCGAAAAAATGGCCGTTATCCTTAACAAACAATGTTACCAGACCGACAATTGTGTTTTAGCTTATGTCATAATTATGGTCTTTTTATTCCAATATTACTAAAAGTAGAATAAAAGATAAAAATGTGATCTGTTTTTAAAAATTCTAAAAATGTGACCAACATCACAATTAACCCTGCAGTGTAAAGTGACTCCGAGCAAAGTGACTCCGGCCAAAGTGACCCCACCGATCACAGTGACTGCCCCACCGACCATAGTGACTGCCCCACCGCCACAGTGACTCCGGCCAAAGTAACTCCGGTCATAGTGATACCCGATTCTGGCCATAGTGACACCCGATTCCGGCCACAGTGACTGCTGGCCCACCAACCACAGTTACTCAGCCATAGTGACACGCAAAACAGACGCAAACCGCCACCGCCACTCCCGGCCGCCGCCCTAGCCTGACTCAACTCCCCACCCCCATCCCCAGCCCGCCGCCAACTCCCCAGCCCCCTCTCAACCCTCAGCCACCTCTAGAGTCACCGCACACCACCATCACTGCCCCACCCCCTCACGACAGTCACTGCACCACCCCCGCCCCAACCACCACCTCAAGGTTTCTAGCCCATGTTCAACTCCATGGACGTCGTTGAATGCCTCGTGCCTGCACCCTCCACAGTGCAGCTCCGCGAAACAGTCTCGGCCATCACTCCGGCCGGCCACCGAACCCCAGGTCCAGTACACCCCAGCCCCAGTCCTGCACAATCGTTGCACCATCCCCAGTCCCCTCCCCTCCCTTTCCCTGACACAGCACCCACAACCTGCACCCTCCGACATCCCAGCCCCCCTCCCCTATTCCCTCCTCAGCTCCAAACCCATGCAGTCGCCCCCTCCTATCCATATCCTCTCCCAGCCCCCTAGATCCCATCCCCTGCCTTCATCGCATCCCAAAACCTAGCCGCCGTCTAGTCATACAGTCGTTGAACGCGAAGAACAAAGAGGAGAATAGGGAGGACGAAGATGATGAAGAACGAATGGAAGAAGGACGGAAAGGAATTGATTGGAAATCAAAACGAATCGAATGAAAAGCAGACCAGATCTGTTCTTCCAGCTTCTGGAATGTAAAGCAAGGTTGCGAACGAGCTCTCGACGACTCTGGCCTGGTGGAGATGGCGGCGTTGCAGGGGCAGGCGATGGAGATGCTGTGGATTCCGAGTTCGCTGGATGCTTCGCCTCTGGTTCAATCGATGAGGTTCGATTGGGAGCGAAGAAGATGGACGACTTGCGCTGGGGGAAGATGGGGCGACGGAAATATGCAGATGATTACGGCTGGGGTTTTATAAAATGTCATATTTTTGGAAAAAGGAAAAGTTGTCATATTTTTTTTAAATGAAAACTCCGGTAGTAATATAGAGGCAAATTTTTCCATAATTATTAACATAATTTTGTTTTTTCAAAAATCAATCAATTACTCACAGAGCTTTGCTCTGCTCATGGGTTGCCCCATCATTTTAATATTGGTTAAATTAAGTTTCATAGATGTCTATCAAATTGAATGAAAATGGTCAACAAAATTGATAGCCGTTATATTTACTTGTGTTTAACATAAGTATTTACAAGTATTTGTTGAAGAAAAGAAGAGAAATCGGACAAATACCTTCAGAATGAGAGCTAAAGCATAACACATTGTGATGAACGGTTTTTGAGACCAAGAGGATGACGTTCTGCCCATAATTTGAGTATAACTTATTATAGAGAACTCGATATCATTCGATTCAAGTTTCATGTGAATATTAACTCAATAAGGTACAAATGTTATGAAGACGTCATGGCCAAAATATGAAAGGAACAAGACTCAATCAACCAATAAAGTCAGATGTTGCTGGTGGGATTTCAGGATGTATACCTCTCAGTGTTTTATTCATATCTTTTGATTGGATGAATAAAATCACATCATTCAAGTTTTGGTGGATAGAAGACTTCATTATCTACAACTTTGGTGAAGGAATCATGTCCAAATTCGTAGTGGAAAATCCCCAAAATCCCAGGACAAAAACCGACACTTTTTGATCCATTTCTGAAGAAGAGAAAGGAAGCGCATTTTTTGACGCAACAACCGGCGCCAGTCAGGCAAGAACCGGCGCCGGTTCGAAGGTGTTTTCGCCCAAATGGGACTGTTTTCGACCGGGGCCGGTTCTAGACTGACCGGGGCCGGTTAGTCTGGATTTCTGCTAAAACACAGCAACGTGCAAGAGATTTTTGATGGGAAAACTTCATCTTCCACATCTGATTGTTGGACTTGAATAGACTAAAAGATGCCATTCTTTAGCCTATATAAAGCCCTCAATTTATCAAGCAAATACATTCCATTCCATAGATTAATTCTTAGATTTTATATTTTTGTTCTTGGTATTTTCTTCAAGTTCTTGAGGAGGAAACTTCAACCTCCGAAATCATTGGTGTTTAGGTATTATTTCCTTTGTAATTTCATGTTCCATTACATTTGTATTTTGATTAATATGAGCATTAGAGGCTAATTTCTTAGCTAAGGCTAGGGATGAACCTCTATGCATATTAGGTGTTTGATAAAAGTTCTAAACCAATAAATTGTGATTTATCCTTTATATTTTGATTGTTTATGACTATGGTGTACAACATAGAAGTATGTTAAATTTAGTTTATACTTGCAATTAATGTTGAAGTCTAAACTATGAACATTAAAGGATAAACATATATATTACCGATAATAGAAATATATCCGGTCTTATATGATACGGGTGTGATGTCTTGATATTCAACGGGGTTTTCGATAGATGAATGTAAGCCGTAACGAGACTTACACGTAACGAAAACCATGCTCTCACTGCCTTAACCGGAGTTGAGAATATATTAGCGACATCGTATTCATAATTATTGGGAAAGAACTAGTATTAAATCCTATTAAAGCATTTAGGTGAATCCCGATTGCCTTAGTAATTCTTATTCTTGTTAAACCAATCTCAAGAGCAAAGTTCCTGAAAAACTATACCATTTATATTCTTTTGCATTCAATACTCGACTTTATAATATCAACCATTTCCCTGTGGATCGACCCGGTATTTACCGGTA